CCGCCACTCGCGGCTGGTGGCTGGGTGGGTGGGTCGCCAGACGATTTGAGTTCGTCCAGAGTGAGCTGGAATGATTGCTATTGGCGCAGTTGGGCAGCAAGCGGAGCAGACGAGAAGCAGGATGGAGTTGGGATCCGGTGGCTGCGGACTTCGCAGCAACGCAAACCTGACGCAAACTGCTTGTGCTGCTGGCTAGCGGTGTCATTTTTTGGTGACAGCACTTGGCAAGGCCTGTTGGGCGAGCCCTGTGTTGAACAACCGTATCATGTGTAGAATTTCCAATCTGATATCGTGTATCGTGCGCATTGTCCCTGTCACAATCCAGATCTCCAAAGCGTCCTTCCTCGCGGTATATGAGGAGGTGGGGGCAATTCGGACAGTGGGGTGCTTTCTCACGACTGAGGGGCTCTCACGGCCTGTAACCTGCATGTACTGTTTTCTTAAACCAAGCTTTGGTTTCTGATAGGAGTGCATACACGCTCGTTGCGTGGATGCTGAGATCGCTTCACGGTAGCTGCAGCGCAGCTCGGGGCAATTCGGACAGTTCGCGAACATGGCGCTTTACGAGCTTCTGATGGCTTAGAACGTGTTTAACATGTTTATCATCACCATTACAACCCTTGAATCACTATGTGAAGGCCCTTTCCAAGTGTCCAAATCGCCCCGCTGCTGCTGCCCGCAGCACAAGCTGTGACCAGAGCTTGGGGCGGATCGGGCATGCAAGGTCTGGTTGGCCGGCCGCGCGCTGTAGGGATCTGATAATCCTAAATATGACAGCAGAAGTCGGGCGGAGCCCTGCCGGCTCCTATTCTGGATGCGCGGGTGTTGGACGTGATCACCGCGGAGAGGACGCGAGCAGGAGCCTCTAACGTTACTATACGAGCATTCAGTGGATGCCTAAAATCATGTTCTTACACATGTATGAAGTGCATCAACAAAGAAGCCTCCTAGAAGAAATGTCCGATTTGCCCCACTGTCCAAATTGCCCCCACCTCCTCATAGATCTAAACATGACAAGAATGTTTTAGTCACCCTCGTGGCAGCGTTATTCCCGCCATGGGGGCCAAGTGCCTGCTGCTTTACCACCCGCCGCATGGCGGCACGCCGACCACCGCCGACGCTGAGCGGGTCGTCGCGGCACTGCAGCGCGTGTGCGCCGTCCACCACAGCAGGCAGCCAGAGCGGCAGCTCGAGGCGCGCTGCTCGCAGCTCAGCCAGGCACCGGTGCGGTGTTACTCCGCGCGGCGCCCTCGAGACCCCTCCGCCGCCCGCTGCCCCTGTGTGCACCCCCCCATGCACGCCTGATGGCAAAACGCCCCACGTGCCGCCCCCCGCCGCGGCCGCCGCCGCCCCGCAGGCGCGCGACATGACGACCGTGACTCATCCGCGATCCCTCGCTGACCTCTGGCTGCTGCAGCTGCCCCGAGACGCCCCAGACCGCGTGTTCCTCTGCAATCTGTGAGTGCCACCCCACCCCCGCCGTGACCAGCGGCGCAGTATTTCATCCCCGCAATGCGCTATGACCGAGCATTCACAAGCGATTGCCTTCGTACCGCATGCCTGGCTGTCCGTTCGAGGCCGCGGGGTGGCTCGGCGCCGCTCGCTTCGGCCGTGGCGTTTGCTCTCACGCACTTCGCTCCACTCTCCTGTGGACCAACACAGTAGCCCACCCACTTGCCTCGCCTGCCCTGCATGCCACCGCCCCCCCCACCCCGGTCCCCAAAACTGAAGCC